CAAAGTATCAAAATAAATAATATTTACAGTAGGCTGATCAAAAAAACTAACATAAGAAATGTATTTCTCTAACATTTAAAATTACTTAATCTCTAAAGAGCAAAACAAAATATTAAATTATTAAAAAAATGTATACATTATGTATAGAAGACAAGCGGATGAAGAGGTGATTGTGGCATTGTCACTTGTTGGACACTCCGCCACATCGAGCACTATCTCTAAGCAAGAAAATGTCTTGAGAGAGTAAAACTAACCAGCAAATTAAAATTAGGCCTTAAAGCCTCTTATGCTCAGTTAAGAATGCCAAACAAGCTATAATAACTTGGGATAGGCCAAAATTATATTTTTAATAAATAACAAAAACATTTTTTTAATTTTTTTACTAAACGGATCAAATGACCCAGTTATATATACAAGAACACAATCACAGTGTTACAAGTAAAAGAGTGATCACACAGTTAACATGTAAACATAATAAAAATAATTAAGTAATACTAGATAACTAAAATTAAAATGCACAAGAAAAAGAGAACAATGATAATAATTAACTAAATAACAAATTAGAATAAACATAACTTTAGTTATTAATACAAATTTAGTTATTAGATAAAACATAATTTAATTTATTTTTAAAAGATAATAAAGATTTATGATCGAAAAAGATAATATTAAATTTATTGGAGAAATACTTAACACGGTATAGCGGACTGTTCATCGTATGGTTAGATCGCAGAATTGGTAGGTAAAATGTGTCGTTTGATCTGAAAAATCGTCGAGAAACTAAAAAGGATAGGCAACTAAGGAATTCAGGACAATCAATATTATTATTCAAACCTTTGTACAAAAAACATAAATCAAGCTTGGTTCTACGCAGGGAGAGAGAGTCAAAAGCAAGCGAAAATAGATTTGGACTGTAGGAGAAACGAAGGGTACAGGAATTATTACAACGGTAATAAAGAAAACTTAAAAATAGATTATGCTTTACCAGGTACGGAGACCATATCATGGAACAGTATTCGATAGGAGATTTAATGTACGAGTAATAAATAAGGCGTAAAGCGTCAGGTTTGTTAAAATTACCACAAGCACAATTATTAAATCCAAATAGTCTAAAGCCTTATTCTTAATATGATTAATATGTGTTTTAAATGGCAGTTTTCTATCAAAGAACGCTCCAAGATCCTTAAAATTAAAAACCGCTCAAATAATATTGTAGGTATAAAAAATACTCTTATCTCTAATCCCTTATCTCAGATATCTTATCTATAATATGTTATTACTAATTCCTTATTTATTATTTATTATCCCTAATCTCTAACCCCTTGTCTCTTATTTATAGGCTTAATGAGCGTACTCATTTTCTTAACGGATTTTTTTAAACATTCTAAAAACTATTTTTTGGCTTTAAAAAATAATTGTATATCTCGCTTTACATCTTTACGACTGTTCATCTCTATGGTTTCTAGTTGGTACCAACGAACGTAACTTAGTAACAAAAGAACATAAGCAAATTGGCCCGACCCAAATCTCACTGTTGAGTTTGATCAAATATTTTCCTCGCCTAATCATCATGTCCAGCACTCGGCGGAGTTACTTTATCATTAAGGCAATGAATGTTGCCGGCACAAATGTCGTTGCGACAGAGACGATGAGTGTCGGTGGTACCCGAGGATTGTCGTTCCTCTGTATTTGGATATTATTGGTGACCATCCTTTCGACCACTGTCGCGGTGTCCGTTACCGATACCAGCATCGCCAGCGTCTCCGACCAAGCCGTGTACCAAGTACCCCGAGCTGCTTGCGGCGTGACCGAATGTTGTTCCACCAGATGTCCGACCACGTGCTGCACACCGTGTCCGACGCCTTCTTGTCTGACGGTGGAGCTCCAAAAGCGCAAGGCGCAGCTCATTCAAGACTTTAACGCCGCGCTGGCCGCTCTTAAAGTGGCACAGCTTCGGGAGGAAAAGCTGGCGGTCGTGTTGTGCGAGAAAGAAAAGTACATATCTCTCACGAGTAAGCAATTATTATATTTCACGTGACTAACAGCAACGTTCTGCACACAAAGTTATGCCAAAATGTCGTCGGAACAAGTGCTGAGGTCAGGAGACAACTTGCATCACACCAAACAAGAGGTGGCGGCCTATACCGCACGGGAACAATGCACGCAGAAAGAACTGGCCATTAAATACATTCAGTGGAACAGGATAAGCTACAGGTTGCAAGTGATCCGACGGCTGTTGCTCGGGGCTGAAGTGAGTCTGGTGCATATGGAGAGCCGAAAAAAGATCTTGTACGAATGCTGTAATCCGTCCACAGACTGCTGTTCGTTATAGATCAGCACAACCGTATACGGTTTGATGCAATCAGCACTATAAATAGTTGCAGCTTTCGGATTATATTTCTTGATTCTTTTTTTGTATTTGTAATTATATATAGATATAAACGTTTCTTCGCACATTCGGTACCACATAATATTTATTATATGATGTTGCTCGCGATTGTATTTTTGTATTGTTTCTATATAATTACCGTCCATCGTTGCGCAATGTGTAGCTTTGACTCCGATTTACCTCTTCAGGACGGCCTCGAAATAATTAATGCGTTTAAAATTGCTGAACTTTTTGTTTGTTAATCCGTAGGTATGTTCCGCCGTATTCCACCTACTGTGGCCACCGGTGATCGATGAACGAGTTAAATTAAAAACGCTAAAAACTGAAATCCTTTTGGACATATTTTCGTTGATCCGCGTGATCTGGCGCACGGCTTATTTAAAAAACAATAAATCATCCGTTAACCCACCACCGCATCATTTCTGTCACTTTTCTATTACTTTTCGAATTAGACAAACAAGACTTATAGTGATTAACTATGCGATATGTATACTATGTGGTCGGATATCTCATGCGTTGAAATTTTTGTTTTAATAAACCTTTTGTCCAAATAGTTGTCTACATTTTTTTATGCGAACTGTTTTAGTCACTAATGCTTTACAATTTCCAATTGTAAAATCGAATAGCCCAACATAGAATCTGACTATCTCTATATAATATTCTTTGTTTTACATTGATCAAATTATTTGGCAGGTACTTTCCTGAAACGGAGGAGTGTGAGTGTCCGTTAAATTATGTTTGTCATATTTGTGTTTTTATGCATTTATACATTTTTTTAGACTAAACTGTAATAAACTTTTGCATAATTTGTTCACTTACACTTTATGAATTATTGTAAAGGTATAAAAATTATCCGTTTATATCAGATGAATAAATTACAATACTTCCATAACAATTTATTATTTAATAGTTTCTTTTTGCGGTTTCATAATGATTTCTACGTATTACATACTTGACTTGCTTGAATAATATATTTCGGTAAAACCGTTTGCGTTTTATCTTGCAAGGAAACGTTAAACATAATCAAAGACTGTTCGTAAATTATAAACTCTATAACATATACTTGAACATATACTTGTGCAGATTCTTTTTTGAATAAAATGGTATAACAAAAATTGTTTTCCTATACATTCAGTTTTAAATTAAATCAAATCAACGTTGCCTCGGTTAAAACAAGTTTTTGCAAATCTTAGAACATTTCCTTTAGTTAATATATTAAACACTGTCATTTTTTAACTTAGACTTGATGATTATTAAAATATTTTTTTTAATTTAACTTTTATAGCATAGGGAAGATAATTAAAAATGTCATGTTATTTTGTCGGCAATGAATAGCAATTAGTCACTATTTTGTACTACAAGATATGCTGAATTTCCGTAGCTGTAAAGTGGATTTCAGGAATTATTATAACTGAAAGTGATTTTAAACGCAAATCTATGAATGTTAGGATTATTAAATATCGATAAAACTTTGTGAAGAAAAAAATGTACTTAAATTTGTATTTTTAATTTTACCCATGCATCGTTATCAACAATAAAATGAAAATGTTTTGCAGATACCTGCTGACTTATAAACAAGGATGTGACTATTGATTCTTAAAATAATTGTTATCTTACTCTTCAGTCTAATTTTCAAGCATTAAATCTCAAAACTATACAAGAAAAATAAGAGAGAAAATTGTTATACCCCTTTAAAAAAAAAATGTTCGACATTTTTTTGGATTGTCAATACTACTATACTACTTTTAAAGAATATTTCATCAAATTATAGAACAAATTTAACTATTTTTTAAATAGATAATAGTGCATCGTGGTTTTCAGTTGTAAAATATGCACATTTTTTTTTGGCGTTTTTCTCGAATTGGTGCAACTACTGATTTTTAGACGTGCAACATGAAAAAATCGGTTTAGTAGTGTAGGAGATATCGTGGGTCAAGACACAAAAACAAAATAATAGGGTAGGCTGTAAATAGAGCTATTGACAACAGCAAATATTTAAGTAAATAAGTCTTGTTAGGATTATTAAAACGGCAATATTAGTTTGAACATCACGTGTGACGCAATTCTGATAAAGTATATTTGAAGTAGCTTGAACCGATCTATCGAGTGACACTGACAATACGACGCGGTTGTCTCGATCTGTGCGATGTGCTACATCCACATATACACAAAAACGGTATTGAAAGTTGCAGTGTTCGTACCGAATGTATAACATATCGTTATCTATATCAGCCACTGTACTAGTTACGTGTAATTATATTTTCACAGGGGTGGCTCCGCGATGGCTTCTTAGGTATTGCTCAACTAACAGGTTGGTGCCCTTGCAAATGTCAACAAAATTTGAGCACGGCAGGTCGCGGCCGTTATCCGAAACTCGTGGGGTGGAGTTTTGCATGCAGGCTTACAATTTATATTGTATGTACAGTAATATTCATTGGCATAGTTGTCTATGCGCTAAACGGTCAAGAACGAATTTGATTCGCGGACCCGTCAAGCACGCGCCGGCGTACCTATAGCATAAGTTTCCGACAGAACATCAACATCACCCGGTCGAGTGCATTTTTTTTTTGGTATTATTTTTTTTATTTTACTTGAACGAGCGCGCCACTACCGGCACCACCATCGGAGTCGGTCGTCGGCTCGGTCGCCACCGTTAGTCGTCCTCGTGGATTTCACCCTGATCGGTCGTACGCCGCCACCCTTGCTTTCCACCACGACTTACGATCGACGACCCTTTGCGAAAGGCTTTTGCCGGCCGCCGTTTTTCTTAAAACAGTCGCTTGCTCGCCGCTAGGGCAGATGAGGACGACTCGCGTACAACCCTAGAGATAAACTCTAAAATACTTTTTAAACGTTGTCACTTCCCTGCCGGTAACCGCGAATAGTGTGCGTTATCGCGGAAGTGTATAATTACCCACGTCGGGTATCCTTTCTTTTTTCTTTTCCGTCCTCGGGAAACTGAAAAAAAAACGTCCCCCCGACTACTGTTACGTCCCATAAAAACATTGGCGTCAATCAAACACTGCCAGTTGCGAGATGTATCTCTGGTTGCCGAACGCCCTGCTAGGGATGTATCTGATGTTCTCAATAGCCGCACCACCGTATATAGCTCCATATAAAGGTAAAGTATACTATATATTATGTTATTGAACTACCATTATAGTTAAGAGAACACCACACGTCCGTAATTTTTGGTGAGAAAATATTAAATTTTTTAACTGCCCAACATTTGTTTGTGGTGCACGTAAAGTATTCAACTTTTTAAAACGCATAGCAAATAATATGATACACAAAAAAAAATTAAGAGCGTTGGAAACAGACGCTATAGCAGTATTTTAAAAATAATATTATGTACAATAAAGTTTTGTATTTATACTAAGATTTTGACAAAAATTTGCCTTTTCTGTGTTCGTATTATATCAAACATACTAACAGATCTAGTCGTTCTCTTAACGTCTTAATGTTATTGGCAAAGTTCATTAGTGCACATTCGGCGGGTAAGTGTAAAATCGCTTAAAATAATAAGTCAAACTCATCTAAAAAATATCTACTGTCTTTTTTCCTATCTTCTTTATTATTTGACAAAATATTTACAATCTATACAATAATATGCACAATAAGTAAATTGGTTAGCTACAAAGAAAGAAAAACAGACAGTAAATGACATGAGTAGGGAATCTCATGGTTGAGACACCTAATAAGATAAAAGAACATTAATTTCCCTATCTTTTATATTTAAAAAACTAGTTTTTACTTGACTATTAAATTAACCCATTACTTAACGATTGAAAAAAAACATCCTTCTAGGTATGTACCAAGATCGAGTTTTATCAGAAAAAGATAAATAGAAACCTCATTCCGTTTTCGAGTACTTATTCCCAGCTAGTTATTTGTAAACATTTCTACACTTACAATGTCATCTACCGAAAATTAAAATAAAAAAAAGTATGATTTTTAGACAACTTTCTGAAAAACCCAAATAAAATATTAATTAAAAAGGTAAAATTGAAAAAAATCTAACAATGCTTGACAAAAAAATATTGTAATAAAATGATATATTTAAACAATAATAATTTCCATTTCAATGGAATCGTTCGAAAAGTTTTATAATCTTTCATTTTCGTTTACTTTGTAATAAAAAAAAAAATTCTTGGAAAATAAAAGTGGTTTTAAATTATTTTAGAATGGGAAAAAAATAATTAAAATAATTTATCTTAAAATTTACATTCTGGTTGGTTTTAGTCAAAACCCTGATACAAGTAATAATTGAAGAAGCGATTTTATATTCAGATTAGTATAAGAAGTAATTATGTATTAACTATGCATACTTGGTTAATAATAAGAATTCCAAGAAATACAGTTAACAATAACTACTTAAAAGTAATTACGTATGATTTGAAATTAAAAATTTTTGCTTAAAAAATATTATTATGGTATTTTTTACCGGTTAACAATCATTTGGCAGGAGGAAACGTAAAGGCTCTGAAAATTAGTAATTATGTCTCCTAATATGTACTATATTAAAACACGCGGTCAACAATTTAGGGGTTTTCGCACGTACCTCTTTTTCCAGTTATCAAGCTGCTCACGGCATTTGAACGAGATGTACTTACACACAGTAATGAATTGTAATGACCGTCGCACGTGCTAACGGATTGCAGGCAATGATTAAACATTTTCAACAAACCACGTTGTCCATTGTGTTACTGTCTTGGACCACGACCCAAACAATTCAGCACAATTTTTAATTATACACGGTCTATTTCTTCTTCTATTCACATGTCTACATAATTTATATCTTTAATATGATTTATTTATAGCGTTTATAAGATTATTACAGTGATAGAAAATCAATTATTTCGTTAAAAATAAAACGGGAGCATTTTTTTAGTAAGTCAAGTTTTGAAATTCTGAAATTTGCCGTAATTTTGTTGCAGCCGGGCTCAAGCCAATGCATACGAATGTCCTTGTTATACCCCTAGTGTGCTCTTCAGAATAACTAATTCAACTCTCGTGGTTTCACTTATAATTATTTGGATATCTACTATATTGACGTACGACTTAGAACTACACAGGCCCTGTCTAAACACAATCACTGTTACACCAATCAGCCTGAGCTAATTTCCTTAGGACATTGTTTCTGGTTTTCAATTACTGACTACTTTGTCTGACTAGGAAGAATAAGACTAGTGGGCATTCTCCCACTAAGGCGATGCAAATTAAAAAATAAATCACCTACCAAAAACTAACCTTTAGTTTATAGCCTGCGCGATTATTAACATAAGGTGGGGGCCCAAACCGCACGGGAACAATGCATGCAGAAAGAACTGGCCAATAAATATATTATAGACTGTTCAACGCTATGGTTTCTAGTTGGTACCAACGAACGTAACTTAGTAACAAAAGAACATAAGCAAATTGGCCCGACCCAAATCTCACTGTTGAGTTTGATCAAATATTTTCCTCGCCTAATCATCATGTCCAGCACTCGGCGGAGTTACTTTATCATTAAGGCAATGAATGTTGCCGGCACAAATGTCGTTGCGACAGAGACGATGAGTGTCGGTGGTACCCGAGGATTGTCGTTCCTCTGTATTTGGATATTATTGGTGACCATCCTTTCGACCACTGTCGCGGTGTCCGTTACCGATACCAGCATCGCCAGCGTCTCCGACCAAGCCGTGTACCAAGTACCCCGAGCTGCTTGCGGCGTGACCGAATGTTGTTCCACCAGATGTCCGACCACGTGCTGCACACCGTGTCCGACGCCTTCTTGTCTGACGGTGGAGCTCCAAAAGCGCAAGGCGCAGCTCATTCAAGACTTTAACGCCGCGCTGGCCGCTCTTAAAGTGGCACAGCTTCGGGAGGAAAAGCTGGCGGTCGTGTTGTGCGAGAAAGAAAAGTACATATCTCTCACGAGTAAGCAATTATTATATTTCACGTGACTAACAGCAACGTTCTGCACACAAAGTTATGCCAAAATGTCGTCGGAACAAGTGCTGAGGTCAGGAGACAACTTGCATCACACCAAACAAGAGGTGGCGGCCTATACCGCACGGGAACAATGCACGCAGAAAGAACTGGCCATTAAATACATTCAGTGGAACAGGATAAGCTACAGGTTGCAAGTGATCCGACGGCTGTTGCTCGGGGCTGAAGTGAGTCTGGTGCATATGGAGAGCCGAAAAAAGATCTTGTACGAATGCTGTAATCCGTCCACAGACTGCTGTTCGTTATAGATCAGCACAACCGTATACGGTTTGATGCAATCAGCACTATAAATAGTTGCAGCTTTCGGATTATATTTCTTGATTCTTTTTTTGTATTTGTAATTATATATAGATATAAACGTTTCTTCGCACATTCGGTACCACATAATATTTATTATATGATGTTGCTCGCGATTGTATTTTTGTATTGTTTCTATATAATTACCGTCCACCGTTGCGCAATGTGTAGCTTTGACTCCGATTTACCTCTTCAAGACGGCCTCGAAATAATTAATGCGTTTAAAATTGCTGAACTTTTTATGTTTGTTAATCCGTAGGTATGTTCCGCCGTATTCCACCTACTGTGGCCACCGGTGATCGATGAACGAGCTAAATTAAAAACGCTAAAAACTGAAATCCTTTTGGACATATTTTCGTTGATCCGCGTGATCTGGCGCACGGCTTATTTAAAAAACAATAAATCATCCGTTAACCCACCACCGCATCATTCCTGTCACTTTTCTATTACTTTTCGAATTAGACAAACAAGACTTTAGGGATTAACTATGCGGTGTGTATGCTTCGTGGACATTTTTGTTTTAGTAAACCTTTTGTCTAAATAGTTGTCCACATTTTTTTAATGCTCTACGATTTCCAACCGTAAAATCTAATAACCCTACATACAATCAGACTGTCTCTATATAATATACTTAGTATTACATTAATCAAATTTTTTGGCAGGTACCTTTCTCAAGTCTCCGTTAAGTTCTGTTTTCCATGTTTGTGTTATACATTTTTTAGGCCTAACTAAAGTAATAAACTTTTTCATAATTTGTTCACTTACACTTTATGAATTATTATTAAAGGTATTTTTATCCGTTTATATCAGATGGATGAATCATAATACTTCCATAACAATTTATTATGTAACAGTTTTTTTTTGTGGCATTATAAGATTTCCACGTAATACATACTTGACTTGCTTGAACAATATATTTCAGTGAAACCGTTTGCGTTATATCTTGCAAGAATACGTTAAACATAATCAAAGACTGTTCGTAAATTATAATATACTTAGACTTACGTTACATTTTATTACATTGACATATATTATATGGTACGCGAGCCTTCTTGTGTGCTTGAGCACATTGAGCTATATATTATTATTTTTTTTTTTTGTATTCCACTAAATATAAATATACACAAAAGCTTACACGTATTAATGATGTATGTAACAACATAATATACTACAATACTTGTATGTTTTTTTTACTATTATTTTCTAGTTTATATTATTTTTCACCAAGCACCGGCGTTGTAGGTCATTAGCGAGTTGCTAGCCTGAGGATTGGAAAAAATAATAGATTTGTAAAAATGTAAATACTTGTTATTTATCTTGATTTTAACAACTACTCTATGAAATTTAGCTTATATTAACTCGGTGACAATGGAACCAGTGCAAACAATCATTGCAGTAATTTCAGTTTTTATAAGAACAAAATATTTTAAAATATCAATGAAACTAGAGAGGTTATTCTACTAGTTATTAAACTAAATACGTTTCTTTTAGCTAAAAGTATCCTATATTCTTAAAAAAGTCACTATAAATAAATATAATTTATCATATAGTTTTTATTAATTTTGTTTCCGTATTAATTTCACATTAAAAGATCCTATTATGATAGTAATAGTTAAGTAATAATGTATGCTATACATTTAAATAATAAATAATTACAAAATAACCGTAAATCATAACTATCATGTTTTTTATATCAAAATATTTGAATAACCTATTGGTATACACTTTTATCTTGAAAGTGACTATTACAGTTTAACAAAAATAAAACTGTTAATAAATAACTCTCTTAACTCAAGAAAGAGATATCTATTTTGATATTTAGAGATAGAGGTC